TGCGGAAAGACACTGGAGTTCTCGTTTATATTAAGCAATCTGTTCAGTTATTTTTCCTTTCCTTGTGCAAAATTCTTTCAATACTATTCTTGAAGTTTTCGTTCATCTGTGGAACACAATGCTAGGGACAGACTGCAGCAGCACGACAGTGAACTGAAAATGGCGTTGTGAATCCTACTACATGAAYGTYTGTGAGAGGGCAGCAACATAACAATGGCCGGCATGTACACAAAACAATGGAGTTGTCCATTTTGCATGTACACAATTTCGTTGTGGCCATACTAATACCTTGCACTTCAATGAAATTTGAATATTTTGTTCAAAGTGAAATTTTTAAACAAAATATATGTAAATAGGTAAATTTATTTGTTTTAAATTATCAATTGTTATTATAAATGATGTAACAGAGCTATTTTATGCTTTTGATTGTAAAATAACGTCGGGTTTGTTAGAGCTTTGAGTAATATTACATTTTACATATTAGTGGCATCACCACTCTACCTCATCTCTCGATCTTCCATTCTACTGTCAACTCTACTGTCGTCCTACTGTCGTTAGCAAATATAGGATAAAATTGAAGTTAGCGAGAACGCCAACTGTCGGCCTGCCGTCGTGTAGTCGTACAGCTGTCAAAATAGGTCCGTCMATAAGAACGTGTGTATTTTAATATTTGATAAATGTCTTTTGCAGTCTTTCGCGAGCATTGTATTCCACACATCAATCATACGATTGCGGAGTTGAAATAAAAGTAGCAAGAAAAATCATACAATGGAATACTGTGTAAGAGGAAGGGGAAGGCGAAGCAGTAAATTTTGCAATTAAAAAATTTKTTAACTGCTAATTTGTTACTTTATTATTGCAATAAATCATTGGCAAWTGTTTAATGCATGAAAAATATTTACGTTCTCAGTTAATCAATAAAAATACAGTTCTGCGATTTCCNGGAAGGGGAAGGCGAAGCAGTAAATTTTGCAATTAAAAAATTTTTTAACTGCTAATTTGTTACTTTATTATTGCAATAAATCATTGGCAAWTGTTTAATGCATGAAAAATATTTACGTTCTCAGTTAATCAATAAAAATACAGTTCTGCGATTTCCCCTCTTACAATTTCCGTTATTTCCCCTCTTTATACATATGCATTTCTGTCACATTCGTTTCGTGGTTATTCCACATTTCGCTGCTCAAACGCCGYACTTYAACACGTAGTTCTCTCGYATGTTTCTCATCGTACGGTTGCCAGATAATTCATRAAATCACTTAAAGAAAATTGCTTATAACAAGTTTTTCCTCTATTTCGCTTGGTCTGTGCAAAAATTTTATGTATTATTTATCCACCCTTGGGAAAATAAATTCCTGGTGAATTTCTGTACCGCTGCTCTGTCTCAAACCCAGCGCACAACCTTGGGGAGGGATGATTCATCTTCTCACTTTAGCTTCAAACTGATGCTTTTTGGCTACTTAGTGAATACTTGGTCTAAGACCGTAAGTCGAAAGCTGCTTGAGTCATACATAAAAGAATCGTTTTTGACCACTTTCAGGTGAATCCATCCTCAAAAATGTTCACAAGTTGTTAATTTAAACCATCAAATCACGAAATACTACATTTTCGTAATTAGCGAGCTGGCAACTCTCATTTATGCCCGCTTACAGCTAATTTTCGTTTGTTTTGATTTCGCTATTTTGTATYCAATATTTCGTTTCCATACAAATTTTAGTCAATTGCAAATTATGTTTGTTAAATTTTATACATTCAAACGGCTTTATATGTACTCAAATCATTATAAATCAACTAATCGATGACTTTAGCAACAATTATGCAGTATCTTAAATACTTCGTTCTCTTGTTTAACTATGCTTTATTTAAAAGTGCGTTTCGGCACGTAGCATCAATTACAAATATAATATAATAAATAGTTAAGTGTTGGTATTATTGCATCAGCTGAGCCAGTATTTTTTATTGCGTTCTACGAGTTTTTGGCAGCATTTTAAGTTAATTAATCGAAAGCTATAAAAAGCATGCCTATCTATATATATATATGTACATATGTATATACATACACTTTTATAATTGCATATGTATGTATGATACATAAGTAGTTATGAAAACATCAGCTTGTTCGTGATCACTGCAGGGATGGTACATATATATATATATGTTTTAAGTTCTCTGGGTCATGCCCATCAAGAGAATGTATACTTGTACATATTTATACATTCTCTGGTCCATCTTCCAACTCATTTAGATATGTATGTATGTATGTATGTATGTATGTAAATATATACTTATGTTAGGAATATATCGTCGAAATGTAAAATAACGTAACAACATTTTCGGATATTTACAGTGGCATGAATGAAAAACGAAATAAAATGGAACATGAGTGAAACAAAATTTTAATATTGGTTAAAACTGGTTTATATCTGACCGCAGAACCTGAAAATGTTGAAAATATGAAATGTTATGTATGTAATTTGAACTAGTGAAGCGTAATCAATAGGACACTCAATTTCGAATTTTTTGATGATACGTCGTTTTGCATTTCAGGTGACGATATACGCACGTAAGAATATCTAAAAATATGCCTCCACATTGCCTAACCGACCAATTGGTTATTTACATGGAGATRGCGTTTTATTTATTAAGCTAATTGGACATTTTTTTATTGCGGCGTCTTAATTAGGTCGTTGACTAAAGGAAAGGAATTTCATACAACATTTAAAATCATATCTTACATATCTTCATAAGTAAGAATAACGTCTTTCCATAATATTTTCTAGTAAATATAAAATTAAAAACTAAAATTCTCATTAGTGCCCCTTCCCTGCAACACAAACAACGTGTTTTCGCTGTTAAATGCGTAGCGATTAGCAAACCGGTAAGCTGCGGTGTGTTCCCCTTATTTACCTTTTCATCGTATGTTTTGCTATTTCTGTTGTGATTTCGATATTCTGCTGTTGAAAATTTCCCCTTTTCTTGTTGGTTTCCACTTCTTTCTAAATACCCCACCTAAATCAAGGAAATCAAGAGAGCGCAAGAGTGTACTCAAAAGCAATACGCTCTCATTTGAGTGTGATGCTTTCAGTGTTGCCGGTGAATAGTTAATCATGCTAAATTTATAATTATTTTTGACTATTCTGGATTTTAAAATTATATAATATTTTCTTTGTTGTTATCTTCTTTTAAAATATTTGGTAAGCAAAAATTAACGTCACTTCTCTTATTAAATAATACAATTTTTAGTTATTGCTCTTATTCTTAAAGTGGCAGCCCGCATTGGCTATGTCACGTACGCCTGCTGCACATTTGAAGCGTGCGCTCTGGGTGTGAGCATGATTCGAATTCGAATTATAACATGRCGACTACATCATACTAATAGCTGGATTCTGTAACCAGACTCTAGTCTCTATTTGAGACATTTTGTGGTAAAATCTCAATTTGTGACTAGTTACTATTCACTAAACAGTCTCTAGCTTTAATCTCAAAATATTGCCTCAAATTTGAGACCTGGTAGTTAGCAAGTCACAAAACCAAAAAGAACTTTTGTCTTGTCTTTTAATATACTGAATAGAGCTCACCATAGATATTAATCGATTGTCGTTTATTTATATTTTGTAAGCAACTCAAACACGAAAACGTTAAAAATAAATAAATTTTACAAAAATTTCGTAAATATTATGAAACAAAGTCAACACATATTTTTATTTTTATTGATACTTATGTTTTTTGACTATGTTATAGAAAATTTAATATTTGTTATCGACATATTTATTTTCATTCAAGTAAAAAAACATCTCTGAATAATGAAATGTGATAGAGTTTGTGACTATCACTTACAGAATAGGATAATCCTCCCAAGTCTCAAAAATTGTCTCTGTCAAATTTAGAGACTGGATACTGTATCACAGTACAGAATCGCACGGTAACTAACAGCTGTTGCAATTATTTTTCATATAAACTCTTTGGAATAATATATCAAGCTTAACAATAGTATTTTATCATTTGTTCTTATTGTAAAAACTAAACATTAATTTACAACTTTTTACAATCATTTGAACATTGCTTGGTTCGTGCCTAGACTAAATGTTTGTGTCGAGGGTGTAAGAAGCTAAAAATTAGCTTTTGTGCGTTTAGATTCAAATTTCTCTCCGTTGCCTGTTGTTGTTGTTGAGGAAATGCATTTATAGTTCAATGTTGCGTTTGAGATTATGAAACGGTTAATCTATCTATCTATCACAATACAATCGTGGTATAATTATTTATATTTCGGAAACTCGAGCGCTTCCCGTGCAATTTTTGTAGTTTGACTCCGGCGATATCGGTCACAAGAAGAAAGTTGATTAAGGACTCTTTTATGAAGTTTTTTATTGTTGTTGTAGCGGCAGGAAATATTCCCGAAGTAATTTTGACGAGGATGTAGCCATGTGTAGACGTAAACGCAAGTGAGGAGAAGTCTTTGGGGGCCATTCACTTGGGATTGGCCAGAAACGATTCTTTTACATATGGCTTAAATAGCTCATGACTTCCGGTTTTAGATCGAGTATCCTCTAGGTAGCCATAAAGCATCCGCTTGAAGGTGAACTAAAGTGGGAAGGCGAATCATCCCTCCACAGGGTTGGGTCTGGGATTCATTGAAATGGACACAGCCGAGTTCAAAGTCCTTGGTCAGATCAAAATTTTGTCCGTTCGGAACGGATTTATATTTTATGAAGTCTCTCTAGGTCTGCTTTAAGCAAGTCTCGACTGATTTCTATCAAAGGTATGAATGGCCATAGGGTCCGAAGGCAACTACACTACGAAGATAGAACTTGAATGATAATTTGGTTCATATATTGTAACTGTTTTTGTGATTACTATGTTTTGACTTAAAACCTGATATTTGTGACAGTTAAAATTCCTTTTAAGATAATAAAGCAAGAAAGCAATTAAAAACTAATTATTATATTGTTGTTGCGGAAGTATAAATAATCCTCATAAACACTAACGATGCAATATCTGAAATGTTCAAACTATATTTGCTTTCAGTAATACTTTTGCTTTTGGTAGTAGCAGAGGCTCAGTTTCGGCCAGGTGGTCCGTATCGCTTCCGGCCACCACGACATGGAGGCGGCCCACCACCTTTTGGATTTCAGCCACGTCCGTTTCTCCCTGGACCAGGACCTAGACCACCATGGACAATACCACCAGGACCACGGCCACCACCAGTGCCACGGCCACCACCAGTGCCACGGCCACCACCGCAACCACAGCCACAACCACAGCTGGATAATCTGCGCCTCTGCACTTTCACGCAGCTGGCACAAAATAAGTGTCTCTATATGCTGCAGGCGGCTGCCAACGCTTCCATTGATCTCAAGTTGCAGTGCGTACAAAATAGTTCCTTCGCCGCTTGCCTAAGTGCGATCCAAACGTCTGCGGCTGACTTGGTAGTGGCCGAGGATCATGAGTACAAGGCAGCACGTGCCGCCAATCTAGCAACGGTACTGTATGCGCATGAGAACTTAACCGACTACTATGTGGCCGTGGCGCCTAGCAACATTACACTGGTCGAACTGCAAGAGGCGGCTATGTAAGTGTTACTCTAAATAAACTTCGGTTTATCAGCTCATGTTTGGTGATAATATTCAATTTTTGCATGCCTTACAGAGATGTCAACGTGTCGAATCATCGCGCCTTCGATGCCGCCGCTTTCTTCAATCTCCAACGTGGTCATGACATATGTCGGCAGTCCGCCAGTGACACTGTTACCATTCAGATTGTGAATACGGCGGAATACAATGCCACCGGAGATGAGTTGCTGATTTGCGCCAATCGCTCGGTGGCCGAGTGGAGTGATTACAGCACGTGCAACTTCGAAGCGAGTTTGGAGCGCGCAGTTTTCGCTGCTAAGCCTTTGGCGGCCAATGCTGGCTTCAGGTGTCTCGTGCAAAGCACTTTCGAAAAAATTCTAAACAGTTTCGGTCCGGCAAGCACTATCTGGAATTTCTTTGCCGATTTCCAAAATACAACCGATGTTATCTTCAAGGTAAGTGCTTTTGGGTATTGAGATGTTCAATTCAGTTGGTGTCTTCTAGTTTTATCAGTCTCAAGCGGGAATTCCCGTTCCCGTTGGTAACATACGTATACTGTATCTCGTAAATACATACTGGTATGTATATTTGACGAGAAGAACATGCTTTTGTCATTAAAATGACAGCGTATTCGAATAGGTCATCGAGCTCTTGCAATAACAATGTTTTCGTTCAAAATTGAGCATCTTGTCAGTTAACGGTTGTTATATTTACACAAATGTGTTTAGAGGCAAAGTTCTGAGGGAAGTGTTCTTGGGTAAATCACATTAAGTGATATTTTTTGATAGTTACTAAAATCTTTCACAACACCGCTTCTGGAATGTGGGCCGACTTCACAAAAAAAAAAAACCTACCCACGAAGTCGAACTTGATTTATCGAAAACTGAAATGAAATATATATTATTGATAACTGCAATTTCACGTTTGATATTCGTATGAAGTTCATCAATCGTCGGTGACTTGTTGGCGCAGACAATAGATTTAACGTAGCCCCACAGGCGGCCAATTGTATGGGCCATTTCGTGAGATAACACGTGCACCAAGCTTGGTTTTCAGTGAATCGATTGTCACTTTCGCTGTGTGACTGTTGGAACCACATATTTTCCAAGTCCATATCATCCAATTCGGGGAAAAAATATTTAGTTATCATTGAGTGGTTCTGACGGATTCCCATTCAGATTAACGTGCCGATCTTGATCATCAAGGAATAAGTATGGCCGACAGACGCCGCCAGCCCATAAACCGAAATAAACCGAAATAAATCGAAATTTTTTAGGTCAGATTGCTGTCTTTTTTCCTATTTACCAAGCCACTCAACCAGAAATGAGACTCATCTCTGAAGATGAAAATGGATGAAAATCCGGATATTTTCAAGTTGTTGCTCAGTACACTTAACGAACATACGACGATTCTGGTGGTCAAGCGGCTTCTGTTCCTGCATCAATTTGATCTTGTAAGGAAGTAGGCCAAGATCTTTTGACAACATTCGACACAACGACGTCACAGAGATGCCCAACGCTTGAGAACGACGTATGAGAGACTGATTCCTGGATCTTCCTGAATTGATGCCTAGCGGCAGCAATATTTTCAACACTACGGACACTTCTTTGTCTCACTGGCACGGGAATATTTTGTGCTGTGTCTATGGATTTAAATTCTTCTCACTATATGCTCAATTTTTAATCTAACAGGACGTTTACGATGACCATAAATTGAATGTAGAGTTCTTAAAGTTGAGGCCTCTGTCTCCGAATTTCGGTAGTAAATTTTAAATCGTTGTTGTGTCGTATATGTTTCCTTGATGAAATGGCAAATCTTACTGAAGACAAATGTCAAAAGAGCGGGAAAAAATACGGCCTCGATTGCTGTCCCTATCGGTCTACTTTTGTTGCGTACCTATTGAAAACCCCCTTTCTATATGATTCGATAGTATCTATGTTAACAGTTGCGTTCGGACTTCGTACGTTCTTACTTTTTGCTTAGCTTTATTTTTTTACCTTAGACTTTTGTTGTACTATACTTGTAAACATGTATATGTATTTTTTAATCCAAACAGCCGGTTCTTCCCAGCGTTTTGAAATTTTTGTCCATTTTCTGGAGGAATCCCCCAAAGAATTATATTGTTAAATTAGAAGCTATAATTTTGCATCTAGTGGTTGGGTTAAATGGTCAGTTGGTTATACAAATATTCGATTCATGCGAGAGGCATGCTCTCAAAGTGATTTTCAAATAGAAAATATCGGCAAAGCTGTTTTAATGTAGATCTGGAAGATAAGAAATCAAAATTTAGCAATTAATTTAACCATCAGCATGGGAAGTATTAGAGAGCTGTTCTACTTTTTACGATCTTGTATATTTCTGTTACTCTATTTATAGGGTAAAAAAAACTTTAAAAGATTAAACAATATTAGATGAAACTCTTATCATATTTAGATATCGAATATAATTATATTAACTATATCTGAGTCTGATCATATTTACATAAATTGTTTTGAACTTACAGAATAACACCATTGGATTTTCGCAAAGTCCCATCATCAGAAATGGCGTCACTGAGCAAATATTTAACCAACTGCATTGCAATAATGTAACACGATCTTAGCGAACTGGAATGAGTTAATGAAAGTCTTGAATATACGAACTTACATATAGTATATACATATATTCCCGAAATCAAAAATAAATATGCATACATATAAAAAAAAAAATGTTAATGCGATCGAGTTTCTGTTAAGAGTTTTATTACAGGAATCGCCATTTCTTAAGCTGGTCCGTATTTAAAATATTATAAATGTATTTTACAAATGAGATAATTTCGTTTAATTTAATCCCTTATAATACCAGATGTGTTCCAAAGTAAAGAGGACTTCAAAAAAAAAAAAAAAAAAAAAAAAAATAGAACAAATGGTTTTTTCCGCAAAATCAATTTATTTTATTCAAAATATTCTCCTTCTGCTCCAACACAGCTTTTTGCACGGTCCAAAAGCATGTCGAACGAGTGTTTTAGCTCGCGCAAGCTTCTACGTCTGCATAATGCCTTCCTTTCATGGGCAAATGAATTTTTAGAAAAGGAAGAAGCCACACGTGCCATATCAGGTGAATACGTTAAGTGGTTGATAGTTAAAATACACATTGGTCAAATAATCGTCCTTCGAGTGTTGGATTCTAAGCAATTTTTGGTCGTCAGTCAATTTGTGCGGAACAAACCGAGTCTACAACATATAATATATGAAACAAGATATTTTTTCAAATAAGTGGATATGAATTCTTTAATTTGATAATAAGAAAAAAATAGAATACTGCAAAGCAGAGAACCTTACCATCACAATTAAGAGCTGCTCATAATTTTTAGAGGTGTCTAAAAACATATTGTTCAGAGTACCAAGCGAATTTTAATTTTTTTCCCCAAACTAATTTAAACATACATATGTGTATGTAATCTATTCAGGAAAATGTTCTTTATCTATAGGTGCCTAATGTTATCAGATCTCTATAGACCTATTTTCCTAGAATATTTGTACGCTTTGATTAAGCTTGATTTAATTAGAAAATTTTCTGGAACACAAAATGGTGTGGAAAAACCAAATAATACTTATGTCAATAATCGAACTGCAAAATAATGTAAATTATATGTGTGTATGTATATATATTTATGGTTTTGTTTGCGACAATTCGCATTGCATCTGCCGATTCAGCTTGTCTTATGCTTATCGCCGTTTCAATTTATATAAAACAGGTGAGTGTATGAGAGAATTTCATTTAAAACTTTATTCCAATTAAATTGCATAATGTCAAGTAAATACAGTATTAATAGATTATAGGATTTTTTTCAATTAAGCTCTACTTATGCATTAGAAATCACAAAATGTTGCTGTGTTACTAAGTTCTCATCTGCTTAGCCACATGGTTCATGAGGTAATACTTTTTTCAGAGTAAAACTTTTGGTCAGCTGTTACTTCATTATACTGAGATTGTCTTGCCATTTCATATTGAACAGGCTTATTTCGGAAAAACGTTTGTAAAAAAAAGAAAATTTTCTTCAGCGACGAAGCTTACTATTGGTTGAATGGTCACAAGTCAATCTTGAGATGCCGTTACATGTTCAAAAGATCACTGTTTGGAATCTACGGTTTATATTTCTTTAAAAATGAAGTTGCTTCTAATATTACAGTCAATGGGGAACGCTTTATAGCCATGAGTAATCACTTTTTCTTGACTGAACTAAAAGTTGTTGATGTGGACGACCTTTGGTACTAACAAGACGATGCTACATGCCAAAGAACAAACAAAGCAAATCAATTTGAACAGACTCTGTGGCTTCACTATCGATAGATGATGCTTACAGCGTAGTCTTGTCAATGCGGGCTCGTGTCGCCATCAGACAATGAGTAGTTAGTAGTTAGCATTCCCATCATTTTCCTACAGTCTCTTCGAGTGCTAATAGAAATTCTGTGTACTTCTGATCTTTGCAGTTTTGCACCCTGGTAGCTCATTCCATTCTTTACATTTTGACTCTCTTCACCATGCTTCTGTCGAGATCGTCGTATAGCCAATGCATGGGTTTTCCAATGTTGATTGTCCCCGATGCCTTTGTAGCCTGGCAGCCAGTAGAAGTTAAGTTGCTTTCTTTTGGCAACACTTTTCACTGCTTCCCCAGAAATTTCTGTCCGATAGGCGATGCGTGGTTACTGCCTTTACTTCTGTTTGGCTGTCTACATAGATGTTGACTCTGGACTTGACGTCAGGTGTATTAGAGGCCAGCTCCGCGGCTTTCGCAATAGCAAAGACCTCAGCTTGAAATATACTGCAATGGTCCGACAACTTAAACGGTTGATATATCTCTACTCTCTATCTATAGATGTTTAAAGTATTGCGGCGCGTAGCTAACATGCCTTTACGCAAGGCATCTTTTTCAATGTTTACCTTGAACCTTCTTTCCCAGTAGCAAAGTGGCGTCATGTATTCGGTGTTTGCTCAAACGCCATTATCCACCGAGCTATGCCCGATGATTTTACATATATGTAAATTCTCCTGCTGCCAGCAGTCGTCCTGTCGATTTTTCTGCGCAGCGAAGAGGTCTATAGGTGGCAGGTTTAGCGTCAGTTCAAGAGCCACCGTTGGAGCCTCAGAACCCTTTCCATTGGTTTCCGGTGGGTGGATTTCCGTACGCCGGTCATAAGTAGTCATAGCACTGCTAATGGTCTGCAGACACCTTGCCGTTATTAAGATGGCAATGTCGTCCTCCTTCCAAGTTCCTACTTAACACCACATTTTTGTAGGGTTATGTGAAGCCTTTCTCTATGCAGTTAAACCTGAGACGATTGATGCCTTGGAAGGGAATATTCGGCGCACATTGTCCCAATTGCTGCAAAAAGTGGTCGAAAATTGGGCCTCTTGGCTGGAATTTTTTCGGTTACTTGCTCGAAATCATTTTATCTATATAATTTTCTACGATAGGTTAGTATTCGCTAAGCACACGAGATATATATAAAATAGTGTTTCATATGACTTTACTTTTACAAATTTTAGTTTCACTTTTTTAAATTCTCAGTTACAAATATGGTATCGGATCTAACTTCCCCTTTTTTAGTATTCCAAACAGTAGTTTGACGTTCTAGTTTTTGTACTGATTTTTTCCACAAACGATCATTACTAATTGAGGCAAACTGCATTGCACTTCAAGATTAAAATATGTGCATAAATTAGTTCTAATTATTATACAGAAGAGCCGAGCAACTTGTCACTGTCCCACACGCAACAAAAAACAAAAAAAAAAAAAGGAAAAATAAATAAACAAATAATAAGCAGAAAATAACGAAGAATGTAAGTGAAAAATATTTGGATTAAAATGCTAATAGAAAATACAAATCATATAACTGTAAAATGTTTACAATAAGTACAAATTGTTTTTTAATTGTTTATGAAGCCGAGTAAGCTATCGAAAGCTCGCAGAAAGCTACAGGTGCTTAGAAATTTCATGCTAATTATGCTAAATATCTCGTTAACTAACTTATCTCACTTTAATTATACTTATTTGAATTTAAACAGTCTACGGTCTTTGTGCACAAATTTGTTTTCATAGGTTACACAGGGTGGTTCAGATGATGTTTTACTTTTTAATTGATAAAAAAAAAAAATAGATTAAGCGGTTCGTAGTGTCTACGCTGCTTTAATATCTTAAGTTACACTGAGGTTTCCTTCGAAAATGTATTGGATTTTGGGTTGTAAATAGCTCTGTTAATGTCATCGCTCATAGAGATTATGTTATACTCTTTTTTAAAACTTTCGTAAACAGAGTTCAAATCGTTTGAGGTGGGACGTGGCCTAGTTAAAACCACAATTTGAAATTCTGTAGCAGGGGTAGCAAAATATTTGTAACAAGTCAATTAAAAAGTCTCCGGTTTACCATAGTGAAACTTATTCTTTTGACTGAAGTTCGTTTTTTTTTATTCAACATAGTTCTCTTCAAAAGTTATCCACTGTTTATAGTCACTGGGTCACTGGTTAGATCTGGAGAACACGATGGATGCGAAAGTAATTCGAAGCCCTATTCATGAAGTTTTGTCATCGTTTTCACTGACTTCATCGTGTGCTGTCCACTCGGATGGCTCCCATTTGGATTTCAGAGTGAAATGATGGAGATATGTTTCATCCATTGTCACATATAGACCTAAATAATTCGGGTTTATTACGCTTGAACATTTCCAAACACTGCTTCGCATCATAAACTCGTCATTGTTTTTGGTCAAAAGTGAGCTCACGCGCCACCGAACTTGCACAGAGCTTTCTCATACCCAAATATGTCTGAATGATATAATGTACACATCCGCACATATCTTTGTGGTCTAGTGATTTGATTCTCCAGCATGTCAATGCCCAATTTCCGTGGATCTGGTCAGAGAAAAAATTGTAAAGCCGCTAAATCTTAATAGTATTTTATTAGGCTTTGAGAGCAGTTGAGAAGTTCAAGCTACTGACCAAACTTATGAACAACGAAAACAGCTATTTACCTATTTTCACTCGCGTACGCTAAACCTAATTCCGTAACACTTGCATTTTGTAATACTTTGTCATGTCTGCTTGTCACACCTACAGATTCAAAAGACTTTTGGTCCACCCTGTACTGACTTTTCAAACAGCTGTTAGCACAAATCATTATGTACGACTTGTAACCTGTTTAAGTCAATTCTTCGTAAACTATTATTATCATGTATCCATATGTTGATGCTTATTGCATATACATACATATGTATATAGTATATATGTATATATACATATGTATATAGTATACTATTCATAGAGTACATCTATTTGCACGAAGATAAGGAAACGCGGATTTTTGGGAAGTACCTCAACTTAGTGTCGAAACGTTTGCTGCATTCAGAGTGGTTCGATGTGGCGTTGTTCATACATACATATAATTAGTATATATGATCTATATGAAAATATACATACATATGCTTATTGTTTGTGGTATATTGTTGCGACTGGTATATATGTATTTGCGTACATATTGTGGGACTCGGGGTTGTAGAAAAGCTTTAAAATCACATAATGTGCGAAATTCCAAGAAGCAAATCAAAACAAAAACAGAGTTAAGTACTTATCCGCGGCTTTTATCCACAGTTAAATTTTTACATTAAGGTGGTTCCTAAATAAATTTCTTATATGAGATTTCCTAACCTTAAACTCTACCTCGATCCTTCAACAAT